CATGGACACAAAGATGGGAAAATCACTGTTTTGGACCAGTCATCTCATTTTATACATGCACAACTGAGATCTTCCAAATAGCATAAGGGAAATTTTACCAAGATCACATTATAGTCCCTTGGACACTGTTAGAGAATTCTGAAATTTGCAAAGCCTGGGAATCAAGAAAAATCTTCAGAGGCAGTGTTGCTGGAATAACCTCTCAACTGCAGAAGTAGAAGCAAAGAGAGACCCTGAACCCCAGCGGGAGACAACATGTCCAAGGCTGTGTCCTGGAAAAGCCCTGTGACATGAGTGGCGTTTTGTGTTACCTGGTTTTCAACAGAGGAGAGAGACACCCAGAGATACTAAGTGCCAAGGCTACACAGCAAGGGAAGAGCTCATGTCCTAACTCATGTCCCTGGATCCCAAAGCCCAGGCTCTGGATCATGTCATTTACATCACGAACACAAAAAGGCAGCCCCTCTGTGTGCCCTATGCATTGGCCCAGCCTATGAGCTACATGGACACACATCCACACAAAATAGGAGCCATCTACCCTCACAGACCCATGGGATACAACTAATGGGTTTCTGTGCCAATGCCTGGGCTCCTGCTATAAGCTAAAGGAACAGAACATGCAAATTTCAGTTGCTATACCTTTGTGGTAATGAGAGTTAAGAATCCATTTTAATATCCATTGCTATGTATCTAACATCTCCATGCCTTGAGAAAGTTAGAAAGATTAAGAAGGCAGAAATGGTCAGAGGAGGAAAAGGAAAAGAAATACTTTACAATGTATTGACATATTAGCACCTCATTTTTATAGTCATACACTCCAAGGACTGCCTGGAGCTTTCTGCCATGGAAGCGCTTATTCCTAATCACCTTTAATTAAAACTGATGCTGCAAAAAAAAAAAAAAAAAAAGACAATCCAATCATAAAATGGTCAGAACACTTGAATAGACATTTCTCCAAAGAAGACACAGATGTCCATGAAAAGATGCTCAAAATTCTTTATTATTAGACAAATGCAAATCAAAACTCCAATGAAGTTTCATCTTACACTGGAAAGAATGGCCATCATCAAAAAAATCTACAAAGGATAAATTCTGGAGAGGGTGCAGAGAAAAGGGGACCCTTGTACACTGTTGGTGGAAAAGTAGATTGGTACACTCAATATGAAAAACAGAATGGCGGTTCCTTAAACAACTACAGACAAAACTACCATATGATCCAGCAATCCCACTCCTTTATACCTGGAAAAGACAGAAACCCTTGTTTGAAAAGATACTTGCATCCCAATGTTCATTGCAGCACTATTTACAATACCCAAGATATGGAAGCAATGTAAATGCCCATCAACAGATAAATGGATAAAGATGATGTGGTACACACATACACACACACACACACACAGAGACACACACACACAGAATACTGCTCAGCCTTGAAAATTAATGAAGTAATACCACTTGTGGAAACATGGGTGGACATAGGGATTGTTGCACTAAGTGGAGTATGTCAGAAAGGGAAAGACAAATATGCTATGATATCAATTATTGATGAAATCTAAAAAGATGATACAAATGAAATTATCTACAAACCAGAAACTGACTCAGAGAAGAAACTTTTGGTTATCAGAGGGGAAAAGCATGGGAGGTGATAAATTAGGAGTTTGGGATTAACAGATACACACTACTATGTATAAAATAGTACTAGTATCATGCTGGAGAAGACTCTTGAGAGTCCTGTGGACAGCAAGGAGACCAGGTCAGTCAATTCTAAAGAAATCAAGCCTGAATATTCATTGGAAAGGCTGATGCTAAAGCTGAAGCTCCAGTATTTTGGCCACCTGATGTGAAGAGCCAACTTACTGGAAAAGAACCTGATGCTGGGAAAGACTGAAGACAGAAGGAGAAGAGGGTGCTAGAGGATGAGATGATTGGATAGCATCATGAACTCAATGGACATGAGTTTGAGCAAACTCTGAGAGTGAAAGACAGGGAAGCCTACAGTGCTGCAGTCCATGGGGTCACAAATTCGAACACGACTGAGCAACTGAACAATAATGTATAAAATGCATGAAGAATAAGGTCCTATTATATAGAACAGGGAACTATATATCTGCAATAACCTATAATGGAAAAGAATCTGGAAGTGTTTTATATATATATGAATCACATTGCTCTAAACCAGAAATGGACACAACATTGTTAATCAACCATGTGAAAGTGACGAAAGTCACTCAGTCATGTCCAACTCTTTGAGACCCCATGAACTATGCAGTACACAGTTCATGGAATTCTCCAGGCCAGAATACTGGACTGGGTAGCCTTTCCCTTCTGGGGGCCCTTCCACCATTTCCAGCCAAGGAGACCCTCTTCACTACAAGACCCAGCCCAGATGGCCTCCCATCTAAAAAGCCCTTCATATCCCTTGATATGAGTCAGTGTTTGGTTCCCTACTCTTCATGATCCGCAACCTCTGCCTCACTGCAGGCTCTGCTCTTTACTGGTTTGCCTGGAAGATGTGCTCCAGCCTCCCCACCTCAAGCCCTGAGTGATGTGTGGGTGAGTGGACACCTGATGCCTTGCATGGTGGAGGAGCCTCTTGCACGACAGGTGTCCTTGGACTTGAATGTGCTTTGCCTTGTGAGGTCTGGCACCCAGAACTGCCCTCTCTCATCAGGCTGTGCTTCCACCGGGGCTAGCACATGTCCAGGTGGCCAGCACACTGGCAGTAGTTCTCCCCAACCCAGCAGTTGCCTGATGCAAAAGACACCACGAGCCCCTCCCACCAGGCTGCATGTAGGGCAGAGCATGGTGTCACCCAAGCAAAGGCACTTGGCATCCTCTGTGTACACATAGCCACCACTCAGGCACCAATTCCTGGTGTTAGTTCTCCCACTCGTTCAATAATGATCATGAGGCCTCAGGCACTGTGAAGGCTTGACCACCGGGGCCCACTGTGGACACCTCCAATGACTGTCTGTGCTCTGCACCTCACGACGGGCTGGCAGGAAAAGTCAGTTCAACATCACAGGTAAAGGGATACCCTGCCCGACCCTGACTGCTCCGTGTCCCCTTGGTGGTGAGTCCCCAGCCAGCCTCCTGCACCAACACCCCCCTCCCTCATGGGAACAGCCTCATGAAGGACCCATCCTAAGAAGGCTGGCCCTGGGGAGGTCTGAGGAGAAGTGGTGAGATGAGGCCTTGGAACAGGGTTGACATCCCCTGCCTCACTGGTTATGAGGACCCATCCTGGGGGTAGTCAGTGTACACTCAGCCCTGGGCTCAAGGCCACAGCCCAGCTGCTAGAACTTTTGCCGGACTGGTAAGGGAAGAGGAATTCCAATGCAAGTGAGAAGATCCAGGTGTGTGGATTGTGGGAGGAATAGATGGAAGAGACTTCTTTGCTTTACTTTCTGCAGGGGGATGACCAGCTTATGGTAAAGAACAGTGAGAACCAAGCGGTAGGGCAGGGTCTCCCTGGTAGCTGACAAAGCTTCAGGCAGTGAACAAACATTGGCCCAGGATTCAACAGAAATGGCTGAACCTCAAAGACACAGAACATTCTGCTAAGGCAGGCCTGACCTGGTGGCATCAGATGTCTTCTCGGGAAAACATGCATCCCTGACACGAAGGCCAAGGAGACTGTGAGCCAGGGCCCAGAAGACCGAGACATCCCAGACGTCTGAGAACTTCTGAGCCTGCGGCACCAGCCAACCCCATAAAGAACTGGTGCCCCGCCCCCAACTCCAAGGGAGCTAACTGGACCAGAGTCCTCCCTCACAGGTGACTCCATCCCAGGAAGCAGGGGAGCTGGCCACCACAGCCTGTGGCAGGACCCACAGCACTACCAGCAGGAGACCCAAGGAACCATGGGAAGAGCTGGTCACCTACTGCTGGGCCGCCAGGCAGAACGAAGTCACTGTGCAACACAGACTGGTCTTGTCAGGCCCGGTGACGGAGGAGATGGATGACACCCCCTCCCCTCATCCCTGCTGCCCAGGGACTGTAGCAGAGGGCACAAGGTCGCACTGAGCCAGGAGCCAGGGACCATGATGAGGGTGGCCGCCTCCCAGGAGGCTGGACCCACAGAGCAAGGCAGGTGGTCAATACCGTGCAGCCTTCCGGAGGCTTGATAAGTGGGCAACTAACCTCGGTACAGTCCAAAATGATGCTGAGGCCAAGGGCAGCCACCCCAGTAAATGGGTCAAGATCCCTTGCCCAGGTTTGGCCCCCAAGCCAGTTCTGAGGTCTGGAAGTGAGGAAGAGGGATGGGGCTGGTCCCCAAGAGAAGGACACTGATGCTCCACAGCAAACAGACACAGGAATGACCCCAGCCACTTCCAAAGGGACCTTGGGCTCTGAGATGTGAACCCATGAAGGGAGGTGGGACCACCAGAGGAGTGGAGGTTGCCAAACAGAGTGTCAAATTGACACTGACATGAGAGACTCGGTTACTTCTGACTCTGCGGCTGCTTTGGGATGACCCTCTGGGCTGGGGTTTCTGGGCACAGTGGGTCAAGTTTCAGGGAACACAGGGCCAGTCCCGAGGATTTGTCAGTCATTCTTGAGCTGGGAGAGCCTGGAATGCAGTGTCCCCCACAGCCAGGTGCAGGGCTTAGTGAGACATCTGTTGAGTCCTTCAGAACCTGGGGAACATGTGATGTGAGGGAAAGATGGTAAAGCCAAATGGAAACCCTGCATGAATTCCAGCGAGTAAAAGAGAAACGCACAGAAAACGGGGGGGGGTGATACACGCCCCACTCATGAACTGGAGAACTTTCACACCTCTGGTGGCGCCTCACGGGCGTCCTCTTCTCCTGACTTCTCACACCCTCTCTGGGTTTGGCCAAGTCACTACGGTGGGCACACAAGTACTCAAAGGGTAGCCAGATGGGGCTCTCACCCAGAACAAGAGAGTCCACTCATTGAAGTCCTCTCACCATGGGTATGGGATGGCAATGCACACTCATTTCCGCCCTCCCTGGTCCTCAATCTCACAAACTAACCTGCTGGATCCGTTCAGTAGGCCACAGCCTGGTGTCCAGAAGCCCCCTCCAGTGCTGGCAGGTGTGGCACCCAGGTCGTTGCGAACCTGCCCAGATGGAGGACAGTGAAGAGCAAGTAGACTCCAGAGCATGGGAGTGATGGACACATGGAAACCAGCATCTCCCACTCCCGTGTGAGATGTGATATAAAGGCCCGTGATGTGAGTGCGAGCAGGGCAGTGCCAGAATCTCACAGAAGCTCCCTTGGCCCCCCTAGGGTGGTGCCCCATCTCCTGGGCAGTCAGTACCCTGAGCAGTGGCAGCAGAGTGGCCATCCTTGTCCACAGCTCCCATGTGTGCTGCGTCCTCTCAAAGATATGCAGCAGAACTGAGATGAAATCAGAAATGCCTCCTGTTCTCAGGCTGGCCCCTCCATCTGGGCCATATGGAGAGGGGTACAGTCAATGGGAGCTGCCCTGGGGACAGAGGGGAAATAGGTCTGGCTGACCTCCCAGAGCTACACAGCTGCCCCTGGGCTTGTCCCGCGTGCAGGAGTCCAAGGCCCAGAGCTAAAGCTAGGCTGGGACTGAGGGACAGACACGGATGTGAAGGAGCCCTCTCTCATGGGCAGAGTGCTGGACGCCAGGGCAGCGTCTCCTCAGGGACTGCTCGCCCCAACTGCCAAGCCTGGGGATGGATGGCAGCCCCCAGTGGAAGTGCCTGACAGACATGTGCTGACCTGTAGGGCACTTACAGCTCCAAGAGACCAGGTGAATACTGAGTCCATTGCTAGTCTGCAAACAGAAGAGGATGAATCTGCAATACAAACACCAGGATGGGATGAATGTCCAGACCCCGAAAGAGGTGCCCACAACTCGGCACAGAAAGGACACACAGATCAGCGAAGAAATGGGCAACAGGCATTTCAGAGAGGAAACCACATCGGCCAAGGAGGACAGGAGGGAACCTGAGAATCTGGGTCAAGCCCATCCCAGGTCAGTGCTGCCTGCAAATGCAGAGCAGGAGCAAAGTGGAACCCACACCAAGCCTCAGAGACCCCGGTCAGGTAGGAGGCAGCACTCCCCGAGGCTTGGCCCACATATCTGGGCATGTGAAGAGAGCTGGGGCCAGCAGCAGATCAGGGATGGGTGTGGAGAAATGCCATGAAGCAAGTCCTCACAGCTGCCCCTATCAGCAGCCACACGTCATAGGTCTCCAGTTCACTGGGCAAGGTCTAGTTCAAAGCCAGGATTTGGAGGAACAGCAGCGGCCCACCCACCATTCACAGGACCTTCCCTCATGATCTGAAGCCACTACCAGGAGCTTCTGGAGTGTCTGGAGATAGATGGTAACCACTCTTGGGGCGAGGAGGGGGGCACCAGCATGAGGGAGTTGGGTGTGGTGATTGCTCGGGTCCCTGCAGTGCTGAGGTCTCAAATCCAAGATGCAGCCTCTGCCCCACAAATCGTGGCCGGGGAAAGCAACTCTGTGCAAGGAGAAAGCAGGCTGCCTACTCAAAGGGAAAGCACTGCTCCAACTCAACATTCCCATGGCAGCAGTTCTGTGGGTACCTGGCTAACAGGAACCAGTGAGACACCCACCCCGCCTTCCTGGGACTCAGTGACCCTCGGGGTTCTGGACTCATGCACAGCATCCACAGCCTGGGAGGAAGAGTGGGGGCAAAGGCGGCAGCAGAAAGATGCAGGGTGCCCCAGAACTCCTAGATGAGAGCGCCTGACACTCGGGCAGATGGAAAAGGGATGTTACAGCCATGCCTGGATGGAAGACAGTAGGTTGTCAGGACAAGCGGAGCCAGTGGTCCAGGGAGAGAACTGCATGACAAAGTTTGGGGTTCCAGATGAGCTCTGCACAGAGTGCAGGGCCACCACAGCCACCCAGGGTGTTGGGCAATGAGGAAGGAGACCTGGGACCACCGGAAGCCCCCCAGGGCACCACGGACGGGTTGTGGCTTAAACAAGAGATGGCTCCACTGTGCTTTTCACCTGGGGTTGAGGACAGATGTGCATGTGGTGTGACACCGAATCGATGCTGTGTGCAACAGCAGCTGGAGGAGGAGAGAGAGGAGGGGTCCAAGCTGTTGGAGGGGCCTAGGCTGACAGCACAGGCCCCAGGCCATGAGGCCTGAGCTCAGCTAGTAGCAACAGGGACAGAAAGAGGAGCATTTACTGTGATCAGACACTTGGGAAACAGGGACACAGCAGGCAGGGCGGCGGTCAGGAGCCGAGTCAGGTGGCTGCCCTGGGTGGGCTGAGCCCCCAGATGAGAAGACGAGGACAAGAAACAGTTTTGAAGGTGAAGCTGCCTTTCTCTGAGACATCTCAGGTCCCAGGGGCAGCAGGAAACACAGTGAGGATTTTCCTTCACACCTGCAAAAAAGCAGATAAGACTGTTGCTCAGCACTGGGCCAGCAGTCCCAGGGTGGCTTGGAAGGGAGCCAGCCTGGGCTTTCAGTCCAGAGATGGGGAATTCTGCCCAGAAGCCGCCCCTCTCCCTGCTTCCCTGGCCCCTGGGGTCCACTCTGAAGCTCAGATGCGAGGACACTGGGTCATGGTCACTTTGACTCTCGCCGAGTCTCATGGACTGGACGCCTATGGCAAGGGCTGAAAAGGATACAGTCTGGCCTCCACGATGAAGCTGAACAGTCCTACTCCCCATGGGTTCCCCGGGCCCACAGCTCCATCCCTGTCGGCCCCTCCCCACCTCAGGTGGCTCCACCTTGGCCCCAGCCCCATCCCAGCCCCGCCTTGCCACACCCCAGGCCCCTTCCAGTCCCAGCCCCCTGCCCCACCTCCTTCTTTAGAAGCTTCTCCTCACCCAGGTCTTTCCCACACTTTAGCCCCAGACTCCTAGCCCTGCTCCTCGAGCCTCCTCCCTCACTTCCGGGTCCTGCTCCCGATCGTGCTCCAGGCCGCCTTTCTCGAGGCTCCTCCTGGCCTGATCTTCTAGGCGCCTCAGAGCGTGACGGATCTTAGTTTGTCTCCTAGCTGACAGGGCCGGGAAGGAATGCGCCTTTGTTCATACGTGCTACGTGCGTGTCAATGTAACTGTGTGCCTGCATACCTGTGTGCCCACGTGAGTAAGGGAAGCCATATGCACCGGAAATGACCGGTGTCAGTGTTTGTGGGCTGAGGTCAGCCAGTGCTGTCAGAGGTCTCGGTCCCAGTGGTGGACCATGGTCCTGACTGGTAGCCACCGCCCAGTCATCCCAAAGCACCTGTAACTCACACTGCTTGCAGAAAGGTGGGAGGGCACCTCGTGCGTCATGGGCACCTCCAGGAGGGGGTTTCCAGGAGTGCCTGCCAGGGAGCCAAGCCAGAGGTTCTGGCCCCCTCCACGGCCACAGTCCCAGCCTGCTTTCCTTCCACGTGTGCATCCCGGCAATGCCCTGGGACATACATGGGAAGATGCCAGCAGACCTGCCCTCCAGCCTCCTACCATGCCCCTGGACTATGACCTCACACTAGCCCCACCTGCCCCTGTGAGTCACCCCCACCCAAGCCTGACCCTGACAAGCAGGGCTCAGTTGCTTGTCAACGGTTCCCCTCCTGGTGGGGACCAACCATGAGTCCATGGAGGGCGGCACACTGACTGTGGGGCCCCCAGATCCTTCCAGAGTGGCAGTGTGAGGGGAGGAGTCATTTGCTCTTGTTCTTTGGGGAGGGTCTCCTGGGCTATAAATCACCATCACTCCTGGGGGATGGTTTCTGTGCTGTGGGCTGAGGCATCGTGGGGTCCCTGTCCCAGCCGTGTGAGGACAGGCCAGCTGTTGTGATGAGCAGAACCCACCCTGAGGGAACCTGTAGGTAGGTTTCTCATCGGTTGGACCCTCCTGGGACCCCATGGTCTGAGGCCTTTGCCAAGGAGAAGACAGTGGTGGCTTGTTGTCCAAGATTGCTGTATGGTCACTGGTGACTTTCTCCCTATTCCTCTGGTCCTCATGAAGGTGAAGACGCCCAGTCAAGCGGCAGAAGAGTGTTTTCTCCTCTGGCCACCAAGCAGGCACCCTCTGCTTTGACTGATAGGAGTGCTTGCAGCCACTTCTTGCTCTGGGATTCCACCCACACAGGTGAGATTCTGAGGCACCCAGGAGGAAGAGGTTGAGTTGGCTGAGACACTGAATGATGGAAAATGGGCAAGCCTGGGATCAAGTCACATACCTCAGTAGAAGACACAGTGATGGCCAAGCCCCAGGGGCCAACCAGGTCCCTTGTAACCAAGCCAGACCCAGTGAAGAGTGTGACCCTTTGTCACCCAGCAGGCTGGCAAAGGTTCAACCGAATGATGATGCTCGGGGCCAGCCAGGGTGTGAGGACATGGCACCCTTGCCTGTGGTTGGTGGAGTGGAAACACGACACACTTTGTGGAAGGCTATTATCTGGCGTGAGTCAGCAACTCGGGTGTGTGTGGTGTGCCCCGGGCCTCTTCCTGCATGGCTCTTCAGTGAGTGTGTGGTCACATTGAGTGGCTGTATTGGCAGAATGAGTTTTCCGTTCTCTTCCATCAGAAGGGAAGCATCAGTAACTTGTGGCAGTCCCGGAGTCTGGGTGAGGACCCTGAGGGAGGATTGTGGGGATGCTGGACCCCACTATTGAGTGGGCTCTGGGAGCACTTGGGCTAAATGAATACACACCATATTTCCTGACATCTCGGTATCAGTGAGACTGGGGATCTGGTATGGGGGAGCAGCCTCAGGTGGGCAGAGGGAAGAATTCCAGCACCAGCAGGTTGTCAAAGTTGAGGATCTTGAGGGAGGACTGAAAGGACGATGGAACCCAATCAGAGGAGACCTCAGAGAAGCCTTTTGCTGCTGTCAGTCCTTGGTGGCCCTGGGGTAGGATGAACCCAACATGTGTGGTCTCACTTCCCTATATCTGGGTCTTAGTCTAGGGTCCTGAAACAGGGGGCAGGCTTCCTGACATCCAGGTCTCAGACTGGGAATTTTGCATGGGGTGGGGACTCAGGTGGGCTGATTCCCAGGTCCTGTGGTGTGTCAAGTTGAGGACCCTGAGGGAGGACTAGGGTACCGTAGACCGCAATCAGAGGAGGCCTCAGAGTAGCCCATCTCTGTTATCAGTCCAGGGCGACCATGGGGTAGAATGAGCAAAACAGGCATAGTCTGACTTCCTGACACCTGGGTCTTGGAGAGACTGGGGCCCTGGTAGAAGGGGTGGGGCTTTAGCTCGGGAGAGGCAAGAATCCCAGGTCCTGACTGGAGGCAAGTTGAGGTGCCTGAAGGAAGACTGAGGGGTCCCTGCGGGAGGACCGACAGAACCCCACAGATCCCCGCCCCTGTAGTTGGCCCTGGAAGCCCTTGGGGTGAGAAGAGCACTCTAGGCCTGTCTGCCTTCCTGACATGTGTGTCTCAGAGAGACTGGGGACCTGGTGTGAGGAGCCAGGCCTCAGGTAGGGAGAGGACAGAGCCCAGGTCCGACCAGGAGTCAAGGTGAGGACACTGAGAGAGGAGGGGAGCCTGACCTAAGAATAGAGGGGACTCTGGTAATCCCCGGGAAGGACAACCATGAGCAAGATTTCCTGACATCCGGATCTCAGAGAGCCTGGGGACCTGGTGAAAGTGGCGGGGTTTCAACATGGCAGATGGGACAATCTCGGGTCCTGCCTGGAATCTAGGCTCCATGCGAGGAAGGACTGAGGGTGTTAGACTCCAAGGCAGGGAGGGATCCTTGCTCTTGTGGGGGGTCATGGAGGCCCCAGAGCAGGGTGAGCAGTTTGTTCACCTCTGTCTTAGGGACCTTGAGATGAGTTGTTTGAGTGGAGGGCGGAGGGTTCAGTTCTGCAGAGGGTGGACACCCTGGACCCCGAAGAAGGACTGAGCAGATGCCCGCCCCTGTGTTCAGTGCTTGGAGGCCAAGTAGGACGTGAGGAGAGGTAAGGACCAAGCATCTCCCCAGCCTAGGACCTGCGGGATGCCCTAGGCAGGTGCAGCCACATGTGGGGCCCCTCAGCTCTTTCTGTCCAGATTTGGGTCTTGTTCCGATTTTCCCTGCAGGTCCCCAAAGGGGAAGGTCCAGGTCGTGCTGGTGGAAAAGTGAGCACTACACGTGAGCCCCAATGGGACTACCCATCCCAGATCTGTGGGGACCTCACAGAGTCAACCCCTCCTACCAGCACAGAAGGCCTAGGTCTGTGCCACAGTCTCCCCCCGAGGTGCCCCCTCCATTTGTCTCACGGGGGCTCCAGGAAACAGGAGGCAAATATGGAGGTCTGAGGCCCATGTCCTGAGGTCAGGGAGCAGAGGACGTCCAGGCAGTGCTGGGAGACAAGGTGAGGTGGGTGCCCTGAGTGTGCACAGGGGCTCCCCATCCCAGAACAGAGGGGATCTCAAAATGCCTTAATCCCCCCACCTTGTCAGCCCCAGAACCTTGGGCTGTACTGGCTGCACCCTGGGCCAGAATTTCTCTTCCTCAGTTGACAGGGGACTGACTACCAAGGGGGAGCACCCCTGTAATGCCCAAGAGCAGCCCTCAAGGAAGACCAGTAAAGTGGCCTCAGTCAGAGCCACCCATGGTGTGTTTCACAGCTAGGACCATTTACACTCTCTCTTCCCCAGGTCAGTGGTCTCCATTTCCCCCATGCCACACTCCCACTGGGCACAAGAACCCATCCGCCATGCCTGTGGTCCCGATGAATGAGCTCTGCACTCCTGAGGAACACCTTCAGGGCCAAATCCAGGCCCAGGGCCCAGTGGAGGCGCAGCTCCTGGGGGTGGAGGCGGAGGATGCCTCAACCCCTCTGGCCACCTCCCCTCCAATCTCATCTTCCTCTGCCACCGTGGATGCAGAGATCTCTCTCAAGCAGACTCTGAATGTGATGGTGGCTGATCTAGTCGAGATCGTGTTCCTCAAGTATGGCACCAAGGAGCCGATTTTCCAGGCTGAAATGCTGAAAACAGTCCTCAGGGATAACCAGGCCCACTTCCCTGTGGTCTTTCATAAAGCCACACAGTGCCTGCAGTTTGTCTTTGGCCTGGATATGAAAGAGGTGGACCATAGAGAGCACATCTATGTCATGATCACGACCCTGGGCCGCCTCACCCTCAATAACATGCAGAGGGATGGGCAGAGTATGCCAAAGGCTGGCCTAGTGGTTTCCGCCCTGACCCTGATTCTCCTAGCAGGGGACCAGGTCTGTGAGGAGAAAGTCTGGTGAGAACTCAGCAGAATGGGGGCATTTGCTGGGATGCAGCACTACGTCTATGGGGAGCCCAAGGAGCTGCTGACCCAAATATGGGTGCAGGCGGGGTACCTGCAGTACTGTCAGGTGCCTTACATCTACCCTGCTCACTATGAATTCCTGTGGGGTACCAGGGCCTATGCAGAGACCAGCAAGCAGCAAATCAAGGACTATTTGCACAGGGTCAATGGGTCCCAGGTTCTTCCCATCCCGGTGTGCAGAGGTGTGAGGGAGGAGGAAGAGGGATCCTGAGCCAGAGCAGCAGCCAGACCCACATCCAGCAGCTTGTCCTGGAGGAAGGAAGGGAGGCTGATCCTTCCTTCTGCCTTCTCTGTCATGAGGGCCTGGGCCAGTTGGGGGAAATGCTGTGCTGCATCTTTGGGATCATGTTCTTTACAACGACATGGAGATTCACTTCTGTTTCCTTTAGGAGTTTTTCAAATGTTATTTGTTTTAATAGAAGGCTTAATAAGCTTCAGTGTCTAACTATGTCAATAACGTTGATCACAGTGTGTTTGTGCTCACCCAGTTCAAGAAAAAAAGTTTGCTGTTTTGTAAAAGTGATTGTGAACTCTTTGATTTTATTTTGTAACCCTGGTCAAGATTTCATGGAATGGGAAGATAACTATTTTGGAAATATGATGTTACCTAGTAAGAATTGAGAAATTAAATATATTTGAGGTAAGTTCCTCTATGTTCCTTGTATGTCATTTTATACAGCTAAACTATCTCTGTTCAATTGGATTTTTTCAAGTTATTATTTAAGAAAGTACAAAACACCTGATCTGACTTAATAAGTGCCCTGCTCCGGCTCATTTACTCCGCAGACCTTCATGGAGCCTGTGCTCTGTGGAAGGCCCTGTGTTAGCAGTGGGGACACTAGGAAAAGCAGGACTCCCCAACACCTAGAGCAATGATTTAAGAGCTGCAGTCACATGAAGAAGGTAGAGAGACATCCCCTAGTTTCACAGAACAAGGCAACCCGGGGCAGGGCGGTGAGGGTTCAGGAGGAGCACTCGAGTGTTTGTGCCTGAGCCAGGGCATTTTGGGACTTTGGGAAGCTGGGCTCATTCTGTGAGAGGTGATGGTAACGAACCTGGGCAGTGGCAGCAGCCAGAGCTCTACACAGTGTCTTATGGGTGAGAAGAAAATCTGAAATGGGACGTACACATTAGAAGATCCTCTTCTGTCCTAGATAAATTTCTTGGGGCAGGAAGGGAAGTTACACTATGGTCAGGAACAGTTAGACACTTGTTTATGCTGCTTGATCTAAGTACACCAAAAGTTTTCAAAATGGGGAGGGGTGAGTGGACTTTGGTTTGCTGCACAATCTACTCAAGTCTTGGAGAATACAGTTGAAGAAATCTTGGTAAGCACCCCCAAACTCTTGGTAGAGTTGGTAGGATTTTAATGGACTGTCTTTTTTGAAACTGGTGGCTGTGTACTTAAACTAATGGATTAGCTTTTCTAGGTGGGCAGACCCTAAAGCCATAGATGAGGAGGGGTTATGGAAACCACAGTGGCAAAATCTGTACTGAATTTGAATTCACACACCTCAGAATCCTTCTTGGAGGTGAAGGGTGGTGCATTGTGCATATCCTAGCTGGATTTTATCAAGAAAACTCTCACTGTCCTTGTCCCCTCACTGTCGCTTGTCTGATGCCTGCCCCTCATGAAGGTCATAGCTGTCGGGGAGTCTACGGGCACCTCTACAGATGTTCAGGCAAGTTCCATTGTGTGGAGGCAGCCGGGACTCCCAGGGGGAGACTGTGTAATGGCATCAGGAAGAAGGGGCACATCCTCATCCCACTGAGACTGTGGGGTGCTGGCATCATTGCAGAGGGAAGGGCAGAAAGAGCACTGGAGGGAGCCAGGGGACCCATCCCTTACATTCACAAGAGCCTTGGAAACTAAATCATATCTTGCATTTGAAAGTGCCAATACAGAGTAGTGACTAGAAACAGCTGGAGATTCAGTGCTCATCTGGCTTTCTCAGAAACTCCTCAACACACGAAGGGAATTGTCTTCATCACAAGCTATTCCTACCGGCTGCTGTCTGTTGAGCACCGAGTACGTTTCAGGGCAGGGGAGAGACTCCAGGTCTTTGTTCACATCTCTTCTCCTTCTGCTTCCTGGAAGCTGCCTGCAGGGAACATGGGATCCTAGGTAAACCTACAACAGTTTGGGAATAAATTACATGATCAATGAACCAATTTAAATAGAAAGACAGAAAAAAAAAGTTTTCTCTAAATAACAGTAGCACGTTGTTTGGGAAAAAATCATTCCATTTGTCCTGATATCTGGGGTGGAATGGAAAGATATTCTGGATGCAGGTGGTGCCACATCCATGGGACTGAGCTCCCAAGAAGCAGGAAAAGCTCCTGCCTGACTGACTAATGGAAGCTCTGTCCAGGCCTGTCCATTTAGGGCCAAGGTGAGGACCTGGGCTCCTTCCAGTGGCACTGATGTCATGAGGCAGCAGTGAGCGGTTGTGTGAAGTGAGATTTTAATCCCCTGCCCGGGAATTAAACCTGGGTAGCCTGGATGAGAGCCAGGAATCCTAGCCACCATACTAGCAAGGGCTAGAGCCTGAAAGCTATTTTTTCATGGATCATTGCCTCCAGTGAAAAATTCATTTATGACAGAGACAGAAACTGTAAATGCAGGTACAATATTATTAGAGACATAGCCCAACAAGTGGGAGAGCACATAAATAAATGGTTTGTTAGTTGAGATAGAAGCAAGGCAGAGATGCAGTCTTGGAGAGAAAGAGTGTGGATGTCACACCTGGTGAGCAGGAGCATAGTCAAGAGTCAGAAAAGCCATTTATATAAGGCATTCCTTCTGGATTTTTGTCTTCCTTCAGGCCAATTATCTGGTTTCTTTTTCCACACCTGACCTACCTTGGGATGCTCCCCTGCATTCATACACACACCCCCTCAGCCAAGATGGATCTCGAAGTGAAAGTTTCTGGGAGGAGCAAGACTCATTATGGTCTGGCATTATCCCTTGACTTTTGACCCACAAGAAGCCTTTTTTCACATGGCACATGTCTCCTTTGTCTCAAAAGATGGGGGAGTGGAGATCCCTTTATCCTTTACTCAAGCAGAGTTTTGCCCCTCTTTTTCCTTGCCATGACTGTAACCTTTAGGTATTTATAAGAGACAAACACTGGCTATTTATGCTGTTTCTACTGTTTCATTCATGTCAGAGAGCAAATAGGAGGCTGATTGTAAGTGCCTTAACTGTAGCCAACCTATCCCTTGTCACAGGGAATACTAACATTTGTAGGTATCCAGCCTGAAGCCTACTTCTTTGTGCCCCATGAAATGCAAACAGAAAGCCAGGTGAAAATGTCTAACTTGGAGCCCATCCATCCATACTCCTCTGCCTCACTGTGTGAGGCATAAATACTTTCATCATAATAGTAGTGGTAAATGCTTACTAGTTCTGTTCCGTTTATTCACTGGGTCAAGAAGATGATCTGACTTGACACAATAACCATCATGGCACAGAAGCCTTGAGATATGGCTTTGTGACTGAGTCCAACACAAATACTTGGGGGTCATACTCCTGGAACTTCTGACAGGGCACAGGGATCACCCCTGTCCATGATTTCAACTTCCAAAGGCTAAGTCTCTGTGTCTACCTTGCATTTCATTCTGTTGTTCATTCTGTTCATTCACTTCTGGTGCCATTTCAGAGCACAGTGGTCATAGTAATTTTCATGGAGCAGACGTCAAAAGGAGAGACCTTGCAGAGATCAAAATGATCAAGGTGAGGGGGTCAGGCCGCTGTATCCTCCCCAAATTGATCCCGTGAGTAGTCTCTCACAACATGCTGCCCGCAGGGAGGCAGTTCCCTTCAGTGGAGGGCAATTCTGGAGAAGACTTTTGCTCTCAGTCCTCATCCACCAATACCGGTGGCCCTGGGCAAATAAGTGGGCTAGTCACAAGGAGGAGATCTGGGTGGTACCACGGCATCCACTGTAATCCACCCCTCCCAGCACTGACATACCCTCCCTTCATCTGGAGAGTTCACCTCATCTGAGGACAGTTCTTTGAAGATTCTGCTTGGTCTCCTCTCCTGAAGAAGCTCAGAGAGAAAGACTGAACAAATGCTGGGCCCTCACAGTTGCAGCAGCTGCTGCACCACAACTGATGGTCACTCTCTCTTGCCCGAGATCCGTTCTAAATCCCCTGTTCTCTCAGCCAGGACCTCAGCCATTTCCAGTGGCTTTCCTGGTGAGTTAATACAGACTTTGTCCCTCAGGGTTCTGAAGCTTGGGGCCCGATGCCCTTCTCAGACCCTTGCTCTTAGACTTGTCAATTCATCACTGAAATGGGGCAGGAACCCAAGACACATCACCTGGCTGTTAGAGATGTTTCCTCGCTGTTCCCCCTGTGCCAGGGTAGCCCACACACTCCTTAGGATCAAGGTCATCTCCACCTGCCGGGATGGGGACAGTTCTCTGTGTGTGCTGGTCCCCTAGCAGGAGGAGCCCAAAGTGCCCAGGTTGGAACCATGGCTCATAGGTCAGTAGGACTGCTATCGTGTCTCCTGGGGGAAACTTCTTGCTTTGGGAACAGCCTGTCGTGTGTCACCACTGGCAAGAGGGTAACCAGTAACCACATGAGCCTGGGAATTGTGAACTCAAATGTGCTTAGTGTGTCCCAGGGCCTGGCCTCCTATCTTAACATAATGTGAAGTCAAAGGTAAATAGCTAGATGTGGCTAATGTGGATAGTCCTGCTGTGGAAGTATAGAACCTACTCTTGGGAGACTGAAAGTACAAGTTCCCTGTGGGTCAGTGGGAGTGATGGTAGGTAGGGCCATGGATCACTGGGAGTGGTGATCAATGGGGTCACTCTACCCACTAGTTCAAGGACCATGTATCTTACTTCATGGGGGAACTAAAGATGACAGATATGGAGCGTGTCTGGTCCCTGGAGGGTGACACCCCAGTACCACTGGCTC